CGTGGACTTTTTCAGCTCTCGTTTTTGGCTGGCTGTATACTTAACAAAGGTTTATCTCTTTCAGTTTACATAAACTAAAGATTAAAGCATAAGTTTCTTTAAAAAGGGAAAACTTTACAGCATTTATACACCCAAGCCAGTCTTTTACTATGTTTATGGCGCCACAGAATCATACTGCTTGCTAGGGTACCAATTTACATCTGGGTGTTGAGAAGCAATGTACTGTCAATTTCTTTCTGAAGAAAATTGCCATTGTCCATGGTATGGCTTGGACCATGGACCTAACACTGCTCTCTGAAAATTTATTTCAGTAAACAAAATTTATTATTATTTTGGCATGAATTTTTTGTATTCTAAGAAAAAGAAAAAAAGAAAAATTGTCAGTATAAAGTTAACCAGTTTATTCTAAGGAGACTTTTTGTATAGATTTTAACCTAATATGTATGTACATAATGTAACTGTGTCTTATTTATTTTATTTATATTAGATCACATAAAGTTTTGGTTTTATCAGGATAGTTTATCTTATGGCTGTCTGTGCCGAGTCAAATAAATTCTGGTCTGATGCTTCTTCGAGTATTTTGAGAGGCTTTTACTGATGTAAATGTTAAAAGCCTACGCTCGGATTGTCAGAATGATGCTCAAATGTTCTGTAATATGGATCAGGGTTCAGTGATCTTTTCACATCATCAATTTGTGTCAATTTTCAAGAATTTGAAAATGAAAAAAAGAGTTTTTTTGGCTTTCTTGATTCTTTTAATGTAACAATATTGAAGCAAATTAGTAGGGCATTAGAAAAAGTGAGAAGAAAAAGGTAATTAAGTACATGTAAACAGGGAAAAAAATTGTTAAAAAAAATTTTGATCGCTTTCCACCTTTTAAGACGCCTTCATAAAGTTATACCATACCTAATTTCCCTTCATATTTTTGGAACAATGTTTTTTTGTTTTTTTTTGTGGAATTTTTTTTTTTCGTAAGTGAGAGTAGAGAAAATAGCAATAAATGCAGTGCAAAGGCACAAAACAGTTGTTAAAAGTGTAAAATAATATAGTGCGTCCCTTAGCACTCTCGCTGAAAAGTGATAAATTGCCAACTGAAAATCAGTTAAAGTTGCAACTTAAATAATGAATTGGAAAAAAAAAAAGACAATCAACTAATGTAACGTGTGATGGGGTATAATATCAAGGATTGACTGAATCTCAACATGCAAATATGCCATTAATTTGTATAAGAACTGTGCGGGGTGAAAAAATGAGAGGGTCGGTATATGAATGGAAATTACTTCATTTATGTAAATCTTTGCAAGCGTCTGCATTTAATTTTAGTAGTGAGATGTTGTAATCAAGGCGGAATAGCAGTTTTACTTATTGATCGATCAGAATTTTCTTAATCCGAAACGGAAAATTTTGTTAGTCGCCCATAAAATCGTAATGAAAATAGTTTGTTGACGTGAATTATTTGTTGACTTGTTGGATGTTTTCTTGTAGTTTATTGGCCTGTTTATGACTGCAAGGTGCTCCATTCCGCTACTAATGGCCTATTAAAAAGCTGTCGTTTATCTTCAACTGTTACATAGTCTTATGTTCATGCTATATTGTACCTGCATTAATTATTGATGGTATATCGTGACTGTAGCATGTTTGCAGGTGATTTTTTCGATTGAGTGCTGTGATAAAAACATTGTTTAACTACCAGCAGCTTCGTTTACGGCTCCCGAGCATGGTACGTGCCAACACATCAGCTCTCTAACTTTGTTCTCTTGTGATAAAAGTCCCTCCTTTGAAGCAAGATGTATTAAAGTGGAAAGTTTCAGCTTTATGCAAAATTTTATGAAAATTTTTGAAAATATGTTTTTTGTTGTTTTTTAAATCAAGTAAAAATCATTAAATGTACTGATAAATGATTTGAGCTACATAAATTAACAATCCCTACAAGAAAAGGAGAAAAAGCAAAGATGGTCCTGAACTCAATTAAGATAGGATTATTTTAAATGAAATTGAAAAAAAAACCTGTTTTGTTCTACATATAACATGTGTACATTTACATGTAACAGAATATTATTTTTCACATTTCATAGACTATTTATTTTTATGAACCTTGAAATTTTTAATTTGTTTGCTTATTTGGAGGCATGTAACTTTAGAGGTAAGGTTTTTAATACCATATTTTTGGGGTTTTTAATACCATATTTTTGGTAAATATAAAACACTGTTATACCCCAAAAAGAAAAAAGGTCAATGTCCTCCTGATGTTCAAACATTGATCTCAAACAGTCTGTCAGTAAATTTAATAATTAGTTTAAACATTTTTATTACTTTGGCTAAAGTGAAGGTTAAAATACGCTACATGTCCTAAGGCATACTTATGATTACATTTTAATTGGACTTTAGCCCCCTATAATTGTGGTTTATAATCATTCAGTGTTTTCATTATTAACAGATTGACGATCCATATCATCCGTAAAAAAATGCTGTTAAAATCTGTTGTATTTTTAGCCTGTAAATTTAAAAGATGCCCGTTGACTCCTTGCAAAAAGGGTTGGGTTGTTTTGGTTAGCACATCATTCTTTTGTCTCAAATAAAAATGAAAGCCCTGATGATGTGATGGAAACAATAAAAATGGAGATCGAAATTTTTAATTGCAATACACATAGTTTTAAGTTGGGTAGCTACATTGTCAATTCAACAGCTGTCCTTTGATGATTGTAATAGAACATGTGTGATGTTTTGTATAAAATACTAATTATAAAGAAAGGATAAATATTGTTATTTTGAATTCATATGATTTACATTGTATTTCGATGTTTTATATAGGTTTTTTTGTCGTCAGGAGAATGAAAATATTGAGATGTACATGAAGTTTATGTTTCACATAAAACACTTAAGAATGTGCAGATTATTGTCATTACAGAAAATGAAATTTATCTCTTATGTAAAGAGAGTATGATAAAATGAAAGACTAGAGAGTATAGGGCATTTTTATCATGGCCATTTTCTAACATTAAATTAAGAAGCTTGACAGTATCACTGACATGTTTTTCTGTTACAAAAAAAAAAAAAAGAAGAGAAAACCCAAAACGAAATCCCTCGTTCCTGCAAACATGATTATTGTCAGTCCACAGAAAAGATTTTTAATCAAAGTTTGCCCGCAGCATGTGTACAATTACGTTTCACAGCCAGCCATTTTTTTTGTGTTCTGACACGAGACATCTTGAGGCGAACTTCGAGTTTCTCGAGCTTTGAAAATTACGCAGATAATGCTATTACTGTATTATGTAACATTTTCTGTTTTTGTTTTATATTTTGTAATTCATAGATAATATCATATGATGTACATGTATCGTTTTGCGATTTTTTTTAAGGTTCTCTTCATAGGTACATCGAATACTCTTGAAATAAAGATAAGGAAGACATAAAACACTCGCCAGACCAATTTTCTCTGCATTGTCATCATTAAATATTTCTCCAGAAAATGGCTGTATTATAGGCGCTCTTTGCAAGCTGTATAGCTATTTATGATATTTTCTGTCAAAGTGATTCTTTACAATTGTATAGTTTTAATATATCTATGTTGATTATATTGGTTTCTTGCGGATTTCATTTCATAAGAGATGGAAGATGTCTGCGTTATTATCAGTCCACTTGATCTATGTTTAATGAGCCGCGAGTTAATGTTACACGTAAATAAAGAATTAACCAGAACTACCGTTACCGGAACCTCCGTTCACAAGTCACATTTTTTTAAAGTATTAAGCTTTGATATTAATTATATTTTATATAAAGTTTATGTTTTTTAAACGGAACAGAATTTGACTTCATTATCTCTAAATTGATTACAGCTTACGAAATTATGCAGTACATAATGAATGACATTGTGTTGAGTAGAATGAGGTACATGCAATGTATGTTTGTTGCAAGTATGATATCTTAATGAAATCTATAGATGTGCAAAAGATCTGAAACTGTATATAGGTGAAATAATGCACAGAGGTGAAATAATGCACATAGGTGAAATAATGTACAGAGGTGAAATAATGCACAGAGGTGAAATAATGCACAGGGGGGGAGCTGAGGTCCTCCCCCCCCCCCCCCCCCCCATATGTCTTTTACTGTTGTGATGCGACATAAAAACTTTTTCACACTGCAGTCCATGAGTTAAGGTGCGATCAAACCGAGCCAGCAACATTACTAAATGTTGACATGGTGATCAACTTTTAATTTTTAAAGATTTCTTTCCATGAAAATGGCAAATAAGTGTTCACAGTGTTAGGCAAACTTTAAGGTTTCAATTTTTTGTCTTATTAAACTGTTACGTAAGAAAAGCAAATCGAGGAGAGGGAGGGGGGATACAATTATAAAAGTGTACATAGGGGTTATTTACCTGGATTAATCCTGCTATAATGTAACAGTAGTTCAATTTAATTAGTCTGGAAGATCAACATTATTTCCAGACAGTTCACATATTGAAATTTGGCCAATGTTCTGATCTTTTTCTTTTCTATCTTGTTTTTATTATTTATTTTCTTTTTTACCTTTACAGATATTGTAAAATTGCCATGCATAAATATATATGTATTATTATTTGTTGTAAAAAGGTTGATTTTATATGTATACATACATATATGTAATCTGGTGCATGTTTTAAAGTTATTTTAAAGTCATTTGGTTTTTTAATTTCAGTCACCCATATCCTTTGTCTTCTTAACTTTCTGTAAACCATGTTTCAGTTTTACTTTCAGATACGGAGTGCTAATTTTGGCAAGAAATTCCGTCATTATTCATTTGTGTTTTATAGCTTAGATTATTATTTATATCGAGATTGCATGATGTGATTTTATTATTATTATTATTATTATTATTATTATTATTATTATTATTATTATTATACTTTTTATGTATTATTTAAGCAAAGATATCATGAGGCTTGCAAAATAAATTTTCTCAATGTTTTGATTTTACAACGTTGACATGTCTATAAAGGTAATATCTTTATGTTTTTCAGGAGATGAAAGTAAACTGGGCCACATCACCTAGCAACCAACCCAAACAGGACACAAGCAGTAAGTTTTTGAAATTATATTACTTCTAATTTTGTAATTTTTTGAAATTATTTTTCCTAACTTTGTACACAGCTTAAAACGACTATGCTAAAAATAACGGAATCATAAAGGTTTCCTTTCTAATGCTGGTATGCTATAGATGAATGAATGGATCAAAAAATGAATAAAGTATTTGCCACTCACTAATGTGAGTTCAAATCCCACCTGATAATGTTCATGTGAATAAGATATCCGGCTTGTGTATGAAAGGTCAATCATGGTTCTACTGAAATACCTGCTTCTGCCTAAAATAATCCTGAGTTCTTTCTCTAACACAGTGGTTTTTCTTACTTGATTTGGAGGAGACATAACCCTCTTGAGTTTGGGAAGAATTATTGCTAAAATTGCTGATTTTGGAAGTAGAAAAGCTGGTATAAGTTCAGATATTTGAAAAACTTCATGATTCTAAAACAAATTTTGATTGGGAAGAGGTCTACTGTAGGCCTCTGTTTTATAAGATGAAAAATCACTGTAACAGGAAAGCTGGGAAGTCTCCATATGGACTTACACTGTGTAGGTGTGACTGAAAATAAAATAATGATTATACGAATTGATATGGTATTATAGGATTAGAAGATAAAAATTGCCATACTGATTTGTGTCTGATGTTGGGTATAGCTTTAGATATTGTATCAATGGACTGGAAAGTAACAGCTTTTATTATCATCAATTTTATTGTTCTCCCTTACTAGGGCCTTTGTTACAGAGAATGAGCCCTTCCCATAAGCTTATCCCATATATTTTGTAGAAAAATTATATTTTTGCAAAACAGGGGGGAAATACTTGATGAAAATTGAATTTAAGGGGGAAACTGCTTGATTTTTAAAGAATTTTCCTTTGGGAGAATACCCTTATATTACCCCTGCTATAGATTGGGAAAGCCCTGCTTATGAATTTTATGTCATATTTTTATATACAGTCCTTAGCCACCCATTAGTCTTTACTTTACAATACCCTATGTGCAATTATTCTCCATATTAATATGAAATGAAATAACGATAATACAGTAAAATAACAGCAGTGGACTTACATCTAGAATTATTTATGCTTTTTGATGACTCAGTGTTTGATTGCAAAACCATTTGCTGCTTTTCAGATAAAACTGTCAATTTCCCTCAAAGAGAGGGAAAAAATCAAAGGGATATCAATTAGGAATGGAGAAATTTGAGTTAATTAGCTACTGATTATTGCAGTGATATTAAGCTTCTTTAAAATTGGTGTTTACTGAATTTCTAAGATGCATATCAAACTTACAGTTAATTTAACCCTTTACTTGCTGATTTTGTGTTATTGATTCATCCTGCTTTGAAATTGAAATAGTCCATTTAAATTTTGATTAAATTTATACTGATTTGAATTTGGAACAGTCCATTTAAAGTTTAAGGGATTAAGTATCAAAATATAACTGGTATAAAGCCTGGGTAGACTGCACTGATGATGGATCAGGCTCTGTTCTTGTAGCAAAAGCTAAAATGATATCTATGCCATGTCTTACTATTTTCTGAACTAAATTTTTAGGTAAAGTTGTCCATGCTGTCTTGAAAAATGATTATGATGATGATAAGGGTGATGATAAAAATGAAGATAATGATAAAAAGATGACAATAATGATAAAAAGATGATGATGATGATGCTAACAATGATGATAATGATAAATATGATGATAATTCATAAAAAGATGATAGTAATGCTAATGATGATGATAATGATGATAAAAATATGATGAGAATAATGATGATGATAATGATAGTAATACCATTAATAATAAAGATAGATTTAAAGCAATGTATTGATATATTTTCAGAGCATTTCCACATATTTGTTGGTGATTTAAGCCCAGATATTGAGACACATCAACTCAAAGGTGCCTTCCAAGTTTTTGGTGAAATTTCGTAAGTATTTGGAATATATTGTACAGTATGTTGTTAACACTGAACACATTTTTAGGTGGCTAAAATGGTTGGATTATTACAAGATTAAGCCAAACCTTTCTGGTTTTGATTTTTACAAAATTCAGTTTATTGGGACAGGTATTTGTATGTTTTTACAGCAGAAAGTTGAACAGAAATCTATACCATGCGGTTTTTATATGCAAGGGTATTAAGAATTTTTTACCCTAGCAGAGCATAAGAGGTAAGTTTGAGTCTGAATTGATGGAAATAAAGTATGTCCCTTACTCCAGTAGGCTACTAAGATACTTGTACATGCCTGAAAAAAGTTGTACAATGGCCTATCTGGAACAGAGAAGTTGAAATGTTGCCATATCAAACTATATTGTCAGTGTCAACCAAGTAAAAAAAATCCGAAAGTATTGATTTTATGATGATTCAGCAAAAGTTGTGAAATTTTCTGACCTCTGTCGTTGAGATCTTGGATTATTGTTTAAATAGTTTCAGTTTTAAAAGAAAAGAAAGCTCAGTTGTTTAAGTTTTTTTTTCTTCTTGTAAAATTGAAAAGACAGTTAACAAGAATTCAGTCAACTGTCTGTAAAGTGCCTTTTTTAATGCATAAATTTGTGCAAAAATTCAGCCGAAGTCGTAAAATATAAAACTTTTGTCTTACACAATGTGGTGAGGTTAATGCCCAGGATGTTACCATGATTTAACATGCTAGAGCTTGTTGTCTCTTCCTTTGTGATTTAATGATTGTGCTTCCACTAAACCAGTTTTTACTTATTAAATAAACCAGAGAATCATATTCCTTGGGATGCATAAAGTGATTCCTTATCATTATTTCGTAAATATCTTACTTGACATGCAATTTGTTTTCACTCCTCCGGCGGCCTAATCGGTTTCGTATAGAGGGAGCTGTTTAATGTTGGGAGAATTTCTTGTACATAAAACGTGGATGCTTGTGTGAAACTTCTGACACGAAATAAAGAGAAAAGTGTAGCTGAAGGCCACCATGTACAAACAAACAGTTTGAACAGAATTTGCTGATATTTCCCCAGAGTATCGTCTGTTACCTATTACTTCGTTGAGAATAGAGACAGTTATTGTATATTTGATTCAGCGGAGCTCCTATGGCATCATTTGGAATCATTTCACGTCCCAGGGGACGGTTATCAATTGGCATGGCGTATAAGGTAGCTTGGAGATGTGAAACTTTAATGAGTACCAGTCAGTTTATGATAGCCACGAATATATGATGAAGTATGGGCCGAACACAAATCAATGAATTCATATCACTATCCCCCTATATCGCTAACCAATTATGAAGATTGCATTATTTTTGCGTGCAAACGCCTGGAACGCTTTACTTTTAAGCCGAGTCGAAGCAGGACTGTGCCATGATGAAAATTGATTGGCTTTCAAAATAATGCGATGATGGCATATTAATAATAGAAAAGCACCCAGTGATGTATTGCAGAAACATTTCATTTGCCGCCGTCTAGAAAACAGCTAGGGTTTTTCCTCATTTTTTTCCTCTCGCGATAAAACCTTTGTATTGTGCAAGACAGCATAATCTTCAGTTAGGTTCGCAGAATAATAATCCATTAGACAGTAAAGAATTTTGGTGACAAAAAAAAATTTGTTTTATGAATCCCGTACTTTCATAAAGTGGGACAATATGCAAATAAGTCATCACCGTGATTAATAAAGTTTCAAAATTCCAAGAAACAGAATAATTTCTCAAAAAAACAAAAACAACAACAGAAGACACACGCAAAATAGTCACTGTAACAAAAAATGCAATCCATAAAATATTTTTGAAGAAGGGATAGTGTTCTCTATTGCTCTATTGTATAGTACATAGCTCTATGTGACCACTTAGTTATATTGTTATATCTCTCAGTAGTTCTCGGTGAAGCATCATCTAAAATTGATTAGCTCTTGTCTGCCTATTGTGCAGTTCCCCATTTACATCCAATCTCGTGCATTATAATTGTAATATATCAAAAAAATGGTTGGCAAAATGGTAACGGGATTATGGGAACTAATAAAATATAATCACAGTATCTGGATACACTAAAATTAGTGGAAAGATGAGAAAACTGACAGAACTCTCGGACTAATTGCTGACAATGTACTACCTCGAGATTGGACAATTTCGCTAATTTGATAATATTAAATTACTTCTCGACTGACTCGTAACTTTTTTTTTGCATTTCATTGAAGTTATGAAATTACAGCTATAAATATTTCCTGCGTGTAGATATGACACGGTTACAGAAATTAGTTTAGTTACAATTCAATTATATTTGATAATTCGGCTATAATGAGGGGAAATAATGGCTGAACTTGTCAACATTATGCTAGTGTGGCTCACTATAAATTCACAAGATTGAATTTTCTGTAGCTCTTCAAAATAATATAAACAGTAATGAGAGATAATGTCAAGGGGGTTCAAAGTTGATATGTCATGAAAATATTGTTAAAGCATAATTATTCTAATGCATTAGTCTGTGATAATGGATTAAATTGATCTCAATAATTATTGTATTGATACTAATGTATTTAGTTATGGAAATATCTGCATAATATAGGCAGTCTTTGGTTACTGTTATATCTTTGTTCTTGTTTTAAGCAGTACATATAAAGTGTAGACATGGGAAGCAGTTTTGATTAGTTCAAATTATACTGAGTTTAAGGGCATCCCACTTTACGTTCACAAGTAAAGTTGGAAAGTAGCCATATGACCATTATATGTGTACTATGTAACAACACAGAAAAACAAACCTATAGGCTGCCATCTCAAAATTAAGGTCAATGATTAATCTACATTTGAGATGCTTCCGCCTTTCCTTCCTATTGCAGTAATACAGTGTTATTCAATTAACCTGGAGAAATCTCATTCAGTAAAGACAAAGTTTTATTTTTCTCTGAGAGGGATGTTTTAAGATATTCTTGATTGTTATAGTGACTTTATATTTGTACATCGCAACAAATCTTGGGAACAACTCTTAACCACTGCAGTATCAATTCTTTGGAAAGCAAGCTTTCAAAAAAAATGAAAAATTCCCACTTGTGGCTGAGGGGTTTGCCTTTAAGGGTTGAGGAGAATTGCAGCCACCGTTTATCCATACGTGAGCTTTAGAAGTGACAAAATTGGTCTGAATTACTAGAGTCTATTATGCATCTGTTAGCTCCAGCAGGTGAGAATGTTTTGACCCATGGTGTTGCTTTATGTTTATAACACCCCGAGGTTAGCCAAAATTATATTTACTGTTTTTGGTGGCATATGACCTAAATTGTGTTGGTGCCCCGTAAAACAAAACAAATGATGAATTTAACCTCCAGAGCAAAACCTTTCAATAACATCCATAAAAATCTTTCTCTCTTGTAAAATATTGCTAAGCAAAGGTTGTACAGTTTTCTTAAGTTTTACCACTCAATAAAAAGGCATTAACCCACAGTCTTTTTTTCTTTTTCATCAACTGAAGAGGGAATATTTACACTGGGAAATTACCTTCTTGTTTGATTCTTATTTCCTATGTAAGGATTTTGGACATGTGAATATTGTAGTAGAACTGTTGTCATATATTCAGTGAACCAGACTATTAGTAGAATGGTTCCAGACATTTTCAATTTTCATGTCAACTGACTGTATACCTATTTTTCTCCTATGGCGATTTTTTTCCCTTTGATCTTTTGATGCCTTTTTTATCTCTCATTAACTTGAATCATACATAAAAGTGACTTTAATGTAAAATGATGCCAGTAATTATTTATAAATGTATAGACAACGAAATCCAAATAGCCGATAATCGTTTTGTTTAGTTAAGAAGTTATAATGAATGGAATTGTCTCAAGTCTTTAATTATTATTCTCTTTATGGTAGTTAAGACTTACATGAAAGATGAGGCTCAGGAATCTAAAAACAATATTTTTTTTTTCTCCCAGAAATTTTATGTAGTTTAGAAGATATTATCATAGTGTGGACGGGTTCCTTCCACAGACTGGTACCTTACATGGACAGGTACCTTCCATGGACTACTGGTTCCTTCCATGGATAGGTTTCTTACATGGACTACTGGTTCCCTTGTTTCATTAAGGTAAAGGTCACTGAGGTAGTTTTACTTACTTTCCTGCATTGTTAGCCTATAATTTTCAGCATTGTCAAAGCGAAGGCTTGAAGCATCCATTATTTTACAGATATTTTGGTGTTGAAAGATGACATGTACATATATTAATCCCCCCCCCCCCCAAAAAAAAAAAAAAAAAAAAGCACCAACAAAACTAGTCGAAAAAATACCAATACAATCACTAAATATATGCAATAGTGCTTTTTATAACAGTTGCATCATTTGTTACATATATATTTTTAATATGTCTAAAAGGATGGGAAATCCATAAACATTCTTTTTTTCCTGATTACGGAAATAATGGAATATATGTATTATAAGTTCAGAGAATAAAATAATATTGATGGAAAAGTGTCAGGTATGTCAGTTTAGATTTTTTTTGCAGTATCCATTAGACTCATGTCAATGTTGCATCAATAATTTAGGCAGAATTTCGGCAATATATCACATAAAGTGCTGGGGTCTTCGACATGATGAAATTACTTTTGTTTGCAGTGTGTTACGTTTTATTGCGCGTGTATTGTAAATTCTAAGATGATGAATTAGATTTGTGTTTATATAAGTATAGTAATATTGACTTAACTATTCAGAGTATTAGAGACCAAGATTATTATGGTTAACTTTCAGTTAGGGGTCATATATTTTAAGGATGCTGTTCTTTCATTTATTTATAAGCTCATCATTTTCTAGGTTGAATTTGTTGTTGTTGTAATGATTTCCTTTATTTTGAAATTCAAAACTGGTTTGAAATCATGTAAACCCATTAAAAGAGGTAAAAATAAGCAAAGTTATTGTTTGTAAGTGTTTTTACATAAGGATGAAAAAAGTTTGTATAATTATTAGTTATAAAGATGTCAGACAGTTCAT